TTCCTGGGGCTTTCACTTAGTCGGGCTATGAATTAAATCATGGGATAAGCATGAAACTGTCATTGTGTAGAGAAGGCCACAAACGAGATAAGACCTGGAAAACAGAGCCAGCCTTCAGTGAGGGAATTTTTTTAAATTTGGTACAAAATCTCAAATGCCAGTTGTGAAATGCTATAGTCTGACAGCATAAAGTTGGGCACAAGAACCTGTGTCCTGCGCTCTTGATCAGGGCTGACCTTTGATCAACCAGTCATGTCCTTATTTGCTTGGCAACTAAAAATTACACAGTGACTCGCTAACTTCCCAGAAGAGCCCATGGGTCAATCATGAATGACCTTTGCATGATGGGAACTGAATCCCAGAAAACTGGACACAAAGGAACTCACTGTAACAAAAGGAATACTTCTCCCAAAAGAAGACAACCAAACATGAGGGGGGAGGCATGTTGTCTTCCACTGCAGTTTGAGCTCTATTGCCTTCCTTCAGTATATCCAGGAGCTAATCTTTCTATTCCAGTGTGTAGTGTTATATCCTTTGTATTTTAGTAAATAAAGCTTGCCTGAAGGTCAGTGCAAAGCAGTTAGACTAGTCAGCCATACAGGTCAGGCTGTGACTGCACACATGTTTAATCCTAGCAGCCACACTACTTTGCCACAGAAGTTGGGCGGTAGTGGTAAACACCTTTAATCCCAGCCATAAAGAGCAATATAAGGCAAGATGAGACAGTAACTAGCTCTTTTTTCAGATGAAGGTTTCAAAGAGGTAAGAGCTCTTAGTGGATTGGCTGATTTTGCTTTTCTGATCTTCAGGTAGAACCCCAATATCTGCCTCTGCGTTTTTGTTATTTGTGCTATACTGGTCCACAAAGTGAACTGATTTACAGCCTGAGACTCTTGTCACAGATACCATAGTGACTGAATTAAGAGACCATAACAACATGTTGTGATAACTGTCTTCTTATTTGTCTTGAAGAGAAAGTGTACAGGTTGTATTCTGTGATCCACCAAGGTCCTTAAGACCTTGAACATAGTGTCTCCTGCTTTCTGACCCTTCCTCTTTCACATGCTTATGTGTGCTAATGTTACAGAACAAGGAATAAGGGCTCCAAGAGTCTCCACAGTGATTAAAAGTAAATAATTTTACTATTATCATCTCACAGAATACACTTTGTAAGGAGACACAAGTGTTAATTCTTACCATGTATGTTCACTTGTCTTAACATCCCTCACTAATCTGCTTATTAGCAGTCATAGAAAGAAGAAAGGGACAATTGTGTTTTCCCCCCGACATGTCCTTGCTCTTTGGTCCCTGAATAAGAGCAAGTATTAGGAACCGAAAAGAACTGTTCGTTCTCTTCAAACACATTTCGAATAAGTATTTTCTACTTGGCAACATTTTCAGGCCAATCTAATAATATTGCTCAAAAGATGTTATCCTACCTTGACATTCTTGCTGTGCAATACACCCTGACTTCTACATAGTGGTTGTGTTATGATATCGGCAGATGGAGCAGGTGGGTAAACATATTGACACATTGGTACTGTTGGCCACAAAGGTTCTTCTGGGATGAAGGGGAGGAGCAAAGTTCAGGGGGAAATACCAGGGGAGGTCCACAGAGGGCTTAGTTTAAAACAAGAGCAACTGTTTTGAGTCTATTATTTATTATTTAATTAAAATAAAATATCACGATACGACTAAGATCCACTGTTATTCCAACAACAAAAGACAGAAAAAGTTACAGTACTTACAAATGTCTTTTTTATTCTCATCATGGCCAACTTTCTGCCGCCTTTCCAAACCTATCTTTCCTTTACCCCAACCCCTTTATTTTAGTGTCACTTGAGCTGAAAATTGTTTCCTTCAAAATGAAATTGCTTTGGATTTTTCCACAAATATTACCATGGTTTCAATTATTAAATACCTGCAATGAAAACACATACACATGCACAGACAGATACACAGATGCACACAGATGCGTGTGCATGCGCACGCACACACACAGACAGACATGCCAAACAGATAGAGATGCACACAGATTCAGACGTATACCCACAAACATGTTCAGGCCCAGATGCCCGGATGTTGTCTGTTATCCAGCGTGGTGTCTTATTTCCACGACCCCTTTTGAAGCAGAGGTCGAATAGAATCACAGCTATAACCATGCTCACTGTCTTCCTAGTGTACCTTTGTCATGTGCTCAAGGTCATTTTTAAGTCCACGGGCAAGCATGACGAAATGTAAATGAGAGTCAGAAAGAAGACTCAGTGTCTGAAGATTACAAAGAAGAAAATTAATTGCAAACAAACTGATCAGCTATAGTTTGGAATACAACATGTCTTGGGTTTAATTACAACCCTGGCCTAACGGTTTCTTTTGACAAGGAAAATGCTTTGTTAGTGAATTTCGTCTAAACGCAAAATACAAACCAGTGTGAAGTCAGTGTGAAGTTTGCTTTGATTTAGTGTTTAGTACCACAGTCTTCCTCAGGTGTTTACCGTTTTATGTCTTCATTTTACCTTTTCAATAGACATGCCACGTGAGAACCATTAGGCCTTTTACTGCAGTACGCACTGATTGGTTAGGGGAACCATTTCAGCCATCCGGCAGTTACTTAAAAGCATTCCACGTAAAGCGATTCCAAAGGTGATGTAAAAAGGCCCAAACCATGAACCATATAGGTCATAGGAAGCAAGGCCAGACTAGACTGACTCAAAGGTCAGCCACACACTCTCGCTTCTATGGCATTTTGTGGCCTTTGGTGTTTCGGACCAGTCTGCACTTAAAAGAGCTTTGAAGTACGTGACTCGGGGGTTAAATTATTTGAAAGGAGAAGCTAGAAAGGTTCATATATTTCTATTTTACTTGTACTTTTAATCTGAATAGCTATAAAAGCCTTTCTGAAATCCAGGGTACCTTTGTGACAAGTTACTTGTGGAGAATAAAATAAAATCTATACCCTTCAAGATGCATCTGTGAAATTTATTCCCAATTAGATGCAGCCCTCTGTTTTTTACAGGGTGAAATTTGGGCCAGAGAACAGTGAGTACTTCAGGCTGATATAAAGTAACTAGCTGGCTGATCCACTGGGATTAAAAAACTTTTGGTAGCCATTCATTAATTAAAAACAAAATGGTGAATTATAGGTTATTTTCTAATAATAAATATTAGATATTTCTCACGAATAGTCTTTATATAATGCAAATAATACACCAAAGCAAATAAAGTGTTTAAAAAAGAACAAATCAGAAGAAAGAGGGATATACCTCTAAACCTATTTCAGCATGGTGAAACGCAGAATCAGCCTCAGTGAGATTGTGCGGCTGTATTTTATGCAGGATATAAACTTGGGTTTGGGAGTGAGACAGGCATAGAGACAAAGTCTACTGTCTGATTTCTAGTTGACCTTGGGCAAGGAATGCGTGCACTTATTTACACAACTAAAACAATCCTGACTATTCCAAGAGGTGGCTTTGGATGCTGGATGATGTCACATAACTGTCCTGAGGTGGCATGTAAAATAATTAAATTGTTTTGACTTTCCTTTTAATAATTATTTCTATGAGTGTCAGGTTGCAGTTTTCAGTGATGTACTATGCTGTCTTAAGTTCCTTGAAAGACTTTCATGGGGCATTTTAAAGACATTGGATGGATCAGGACTTGCCTTTGCTACACTTCAACGTAAATGTCAACAGAGAGGAGAGACTTTTCAGGACTCAAAGAAGGACTGAGGAAAAGGTTTAATGGGTAGAGCCCTTTGTGTGCAAGCAAGGAAACCCAAGCCCATCTCCCCCTAGAACTCATGTAAAGCATGAGGCAGCAGTTTATGTCTGTAGTCCCTCTCTTCCTACTACTATATGGAAGGTGTTGAGGCAGGAGAACCCTAGGAAGATTGGGTCCCAGCGAGTCTGGTGCATGCAGCATGGAACAATAAGAAGAGCTTGTTTTTAAACAAGTGGAAAATGAAGAGAGAAGTGTGAGGTTGTTTTCTGTCTTCTGTGCATACACTGTCACATTGCTTGCCTAAACTCTAAACACACACACACACACACACACACACACACACGCACACACACACACACACGCACATGCACACATACATGTACACCCTTTGGAAAGCCTGGGAGAATGACTTGTGGTAAGGGTATATCTCTCCCAATCCATCTCCTTCTATTTTATCCTTTTTGGGTCTCATTGTCCCTGAAAGACAGGGAGGTCACAGTAGGTCCTAAGATTTTGTTGAAGACATTTTTTGTTGTTGTTGTTTAGCTTAACAAATTTAGCTTGTCTAGTAGGCCCATAAGAACTTATTTCAGATGACTCTTCCCCTTGCATACTTTCTAAAAAAAGAGTCTACTTTGCTTCACTGGTAGTCTGAGAGCAGCGAAAAGTCATTACCATTATTTAAATACTGCTGCATATTATTATACTTACTTACCTTCATGCTTTATCTTCCCTAAATGTTATTAGTTAATAAAGCACATCCCTCATGCCCATTGAACCTTTCCTGCTAGAAAGTGCTCATGGATGGAATTTGGTGATGTGTCCTCAATTAATTAGCCTTTTACTAACATTTTCTGAATCAAAGATGATCTTGGTTATAAGATGCAACATCCTTTCTGAATTGTCAATCAAGTATATGAATGTATATATTTTGCAACTAATAAAAGATGAAAAAGTCATAACCTAAACAGTGACTCATAGCAGAATGCTTTAGCCAGCCATAGGAAACTCCAATCAAAATGACTTAAACATTAATAATTTTAATTTGCAGATAACAATTTTTCATCTCTGGGTTTGGTCAAATCAGTGATTCAGAATCATTAGTATCTTGGTCGTTTAACACACTTTTTGGGGGCAATAGCTTTTGTCCACATGCTTTCACAGAAGTAGCTCTAAGTCATGTCCACAACTCCAGGTCACACTGGCTCTCCTTATTCCACACTGAAAGACGTAGATTTTTCATATGTCTGTTGACCAGTGGACAATCTTTCTTAACTTACCCCAGAAGACTAGTCTTCATGCTTCGTTGGCCAGAGTTGGTCCACAACACTTTTCCAAGTCAATCCTGGGTAGAAGAGAAAAAAACATTTTGTTGGATATAGTGGTTCAAATTTCAAACCACTGGGGTGGGCACAAGGTGTCTTTCCTAGAACATAGGCATTGGAGGAAAACATCTCCACAACACTGAGATGCTGTGAACATCAGTTTCAGAATGCAAACGCCACCTATGCTCTATGTTTATTTACTTGCATTTCTACTTATGCCTATTCTTTTCTGGTTAGTTTTGGGCAAATTCAATGTAAATATTTGGCCTTTGTGTCTTTACTATTCAGTCTTTGTAACTAAAATATTCTTATATTTAATTTAAAATTTTTACTTTTTGTATCTTCATGATTAGCAACCAAAACATTCATCAATTGCTACTTTCTTTTTGGAGACCTCTCAGATCAAGGAATGGAGTATTAATTGAATTGATTAAAAATAAAAAAAAGATGGGTACTTCATAGCTGCCACATCTGTGGATGTCGTTAACTATTTTTTTATTAATATACTAAGCCTTCCACTCTGGAGAGAAAAGAAATTTTTAGCGTGGTGATGGGAGGAAAATTTCCTGCATAAAGTTGCTAGATTATGGGGCAAATCCTTGTTAGCACAAGCTGGCTAATAACAGTATTATAAATCAAGGAAGAAGATATGCCCAGCAGTGACTGATATAGTAGTGATTAAGAGCCATTAATCTTGACATTAGATATATGTCAGATGAATAAATGAATCAAAACTGCACTAATAAAGTAATGCCAACCATAGTCTAAATGAAATGGTCGGTGTCAACATCATCTCTAAAGATGTAAATGGTCATATTTATAAATGAATTAAATGGATAAGTTATAAGCGTATCTTAGTCTCTCATAATGTAAGAGTTATATGCACTGAACCTTTGCAGATGCTCTGGAAATGTGAAATCGCAACTGAAGATGTCAGAAAAGGACCCAAGGAAACTTTCTCAAGTCTCCTTAAATTTGTCTCTCTGTCTATCTCTACTCTAAGCCCGATCCTGATACAGGTTGCCTTCATCTTCATATTAGCTACTGAGACTTCAGGAGCCTCTGGCTTTCTCTCTTTTTCTCCGTATTATAGCAAGGTGACACTTTAATATATGTATGTAATTCTCAATATTCTCTGCTATTATGCCTTAGAAAATTACCCTAAGTTATGAAGAACTAGAAGGTACTTATTCAATTCTGAGAGGGGAAATACAGAAATGTCCCTGAGAGCCCTTGGTCACAATGTTTTCATCCACTAATCAATGTCATAGATTAAACAACTAATAACTTTGCTTAGAGGTAACCTTATTTAATATATGATTAGTTTGCATGGCCAAGAGACGGCAATGCACTTCTTGGTACCAAATATTTTCTCAGTAAGTCTTTTCATTTCCTATTACATTCATGAACATCAGACAGCCTTCCAACAGAGGACCATTTGAAAAAGAACATTTAATAAAATTAATAAATCAAAATGTTTGAAAATGTGGCACTGCTTAGATCAGGAAACACTAAAACTAGAGTACCAAAGAAGTAACACATAGTGTCATCTTGCTCCATATCAACTGGTTAAACATGCATCAAGGTAACAACACAAGTGCCACAAGAATTGACTTGGGTGTTATGAATAAATACCTTCAAGTAAGTATAGAATCTTTAAGTACAGAAGAACACAGTGGCCTTGGTTAAAATCAGGAACAATTTCTCATTTTCCACAGTAAATTGTACAATCCTAACTCCTTCCCACATCACTGAGACTCTGCAGAGTACCTCTCCAGTCTAGATGTTAGACTTGCTCTAGACATTGCCTCTTGCAAATGGTGCTTTAGCCACATAGATTTTAATCTACTTTGAGGATATGCCAGGTTGTCACTATCTGCAGATACTCATGCTCATTTATTAATATATATTTTAACCCCCATAATGAATATTTTAGTCTCTGTCTTTTGTGAGTTAATTAAAAAATCTCATTCTGGAAGGTGTAGGAGGAGAGACACTGAGTATTCTCTCTATTGTTACGGTTTGTATCTGAAATGTGTTCCACAGTCTCCTGGGGCTGAGCATTTAATCTTCAGCCAGTGGCATTGTTTTGAGTGGTTTTGAAGATTGCAGGAAGTGAGGTTTTGCAGGAAGAAGTGGATAATTGGACTGGGGACCACTTAAGAGCTCTAACATGTCCCCAGTTCTTGTTCAGTCTTTCTCTGTTTCAGAATCCATAAAGATGTATGTGTGCATGTGTTATTTGCTCCTGTTGCCTAACCACAAACCATGATGTCCTTCTTGACATCATGTGCTGTATGCTCTCAAATCCTGATTCCAAATAAGTTCTTTCTTCCTTAAATTGTTTTTTTTTGGTCTTATTATTTCTATATTATTTTAATGCATTTTAATTGAAATAGAGTTATATCACTTGCTCCCCTCCAAGCCCTTCCTGATACACTACCACAAGCCCCCACTATGTCCCTCCTTCTTTCACGTTGACAGACTACTTCTATCTAATTATTGTTATGAACATGTCTGTATTACAAATACATGTAAATACAATATGCTGAGTCCATTTTTATGGGTGGTGTGTACATCGTTTCAAGGCTGAGCACTCTGCCTTGCACAACTAATAAGAGGGCTCATTCCTGCAAGAGACTAATTCTCTTCCTTTAAGTATTTTATTACAGTGACAGGAAAAACAGCAAATGAGCTCATTCTCTCTCTCTCTCTCTCTCTCTCTCTCTCTCTCTCTCTCTCTCTGTCTCTCTTGCACCACTTGTTCTTATCCCTTTATGCAGTGAGAATTTGGTTTTCCTCCAATTTGGGGAAGAATCCTCATTGATAACTGAATTTACCAGCTCCTTGAGTTGGGACATCCCAGCCCTTACAACTCCAGGAGACAAACAACTGCTGGGTAAACCTAATCAGAAAGGCAAACAAATAACCAAAGACAAATCAACCGGCTTCCCCTCAGAGTACATCTTTATTTCAGACATGATTTCCCACGCAACCGAGCCACCCTGCTGACATCTCTCAGAACGCTATTTTCCTATCATTAAAACTGATTAATAGCCAGGAATATTTTATTTTATTTTTTTAAATATCTATCATTGTCAGTGTATACTCCAAACTTGTGCAGGCCTGGAGCGGGGGGGAGTATTCCTTTGTGATCACCAATGCGCATTTACACTCTGCTTTGTGCCTGGCAGCTGCAGTCTCTGCAGTATATTAAGTACCCAGAAGGCGTGAATGAGTGAACGATTTAAAGGATTAATTTTTGTACAACATAAAAACTTTTCACAACAGATAACTGATACAAAAAGCTCACTTAAGACAAAGCATTCATCAATCCTTTACAAAGCCTAGGTGAATAAAGTGGTGATAGTTGTCTCCAAGATGTAGTATGGCACAAGTACTGTGGGCATCAGGCTTCTGCCACACAGGTATCAGTGTGGAGTACCTGTTTGTCATAACTAGTAAATATCACCATCACCACCGCTCGTAGCTGAGGTTCCGATTTTCTGAGAGAATGTGATAGAATTTACTTGATTTCACATCCAAAAGTTTTATAACATGGCATGCAAACTCAGTCATGGAACACTTTTCTAGATGCTACAGTAGACAGTGACAATGATGTATATATAATACAATAATATCACACTGTAACCCTCTGGGAAGCAATGATATTCCTATATGTTGGAAGCAGCGACAGAAAATATGGAAGGTATCTCTCTTTGTAATCACAGAAACTTCAAACTGCAAATTACTTCTTAATTTGTTCTCTTCATCAATCAGGATAATTTCCCCCCTTTCAGTGACAATTCTAAGGGCTGGGGAGAATACAGCACAATGCCCATGCAGGTTTATGTCCTTGTAAATACCTTTTAGATACACAAGTTTTCTTTCGAAAGCAGCTATTATGACCAGGCACTCCACTGTTGTTGAATGAATGGGAGAGCTGGTCCCTGGCCTCATGCACTTAGTATCGAGTGCCCTGTAGTGTGAGGTGATTATACATGATTACACATAATTACACATAATTATCTAATTGCAAATTTTGATATGCACTAGAAAGTAAGACAAAAGTGCTAGCAGTGAGGGCGGGGCAGGGAAAACCAAATACATTTCTGTTTAGAGCTATACTTGTAAGTATTGTCAGAGCCAGGTTGAATTTAAAGCCACAGGAGAGTGTTCATTCGGAATAAGCACACTTAGAAGAGAATAGAAGCAAAACAAAAACTTCTCACTTATACTCCAGAGAATCGTTGCTAGGCACCTACAAGTTGTTACAGCATTCAACATTACCTTGTTCTAAAACTTCACGAATGTATACAACACATAAAGAAGGAAGAAGAAACCAGCCAGCCCATTTCAATAAAATGCATCGCATTCCTGTTTCTACTGAAATACCTTTGCCAAAAAGTAATAAGTAGTGAGGATTTTTTAATATCTTAAGGGAGCTTGGATTGTTAGCATGTCATGATGCCTCTGGGCTTTGAGATTTTGTGGCTGTGTTAAGTGATGTACAGATTGAAATATTTTCCATTTGGTCAATAGGCCTGGAGTTTAGAGTGCCTATGTCATTTAATTTGGGGACATCTGCCTAAAGATCATAGCTGGAAAGGGAACACTCAGGGTTTTTTAAAGCATGAAGGAACTTCTATTAGTAAAATCTAGGACAATTTGAATGTCAAAATAATAATTAAAGAGCATTTTTGAGAGTAAACAAATATCTAGGCATACCTCATCATAAAAATTAACAAATCAACAGGGCACAATGAAATCCATCTGTTACAGAAGGATGCCAATTAGTACATGGGTGGGATGCAGATAGGCAACCATCGGTAACCATCTACTAAGGACTTAGGCAAAAGTAGTGGGGACAGTCCATGAGGAGCAGAATACTAATACTGTGTTAAAGTATTTCCCATTAAGATTTGTAAAAATAAATAGCAGCAGAAATTTAGTAACACACATTCTGAATCAAATCAACTATCAAACCTTCAGAGGTACCAATAACCTACCTTCAAAATGG